GTATTGAGAGCAGACTGAAACGGGTGGAAGAAGAGAGACCAATCTGGAGACTTTCAATTATCTAGGCAAAAAATGATAGGACCAGGGTAGTAGCAGTGGAAGTAGTGAGAAGTAGCCAGATTATGGATGTATTTTGAAGGTAGAGCCTGAGAATTTTCTGATGGATTAGCTATGGGTAATAGAGAGAGGGGGGCGTCAGGAATGACTCCAGAGTTATTGACCTGAGCAACTGGAGAGATGAAGTTACCATCAACTGAGGTGTGGAAAGACTGAGACAAGTAGAACAGGATTTTGGGAGAATGATCAGGAGTTCAGTTTCAGGCCTGTTAAGTTTCAAGTCCTCATTTAGACATCCAAGTAGATATATGTCATGTAGATAGAGTCGAATATATAAGACCAGAGTTCAGGAGAAGGACCCAGAGTTCCAGGACTGGAGATAAAAACTGAGAGTCATCAGGATATAGATTATACGGATCTTCAAAGAAGTAAAAGCAGACACTGGTAGGTTCTGTTTCATTTTGTTAGATAGGAAGTAGAAACTTTTAGTAACTTGTGCTTTAATAGCTTTCCAGTTAATTTACTAAATATGAATATTTTGTTTTATGAATATGTTTAGATGTTGACAAAAATATTAGAAGGAGTTTTAGGAGAGATTTTTGTTAGATAACATTGTAAAAGTCCAAATTAAAATTAAAATTTTGAATTAAGTGTTTTAAAATTTTGAGATCACGTTTTTAGTTTCAGAATCCACATCATTCTTTATGGTTGATACTTTAATACTCTTATTTGCTTGTGAGTACAAATTTGGCTATGACTGATAATGCCCTACTTTAATGTCATCTAGAAAGGTTTTGGTACTTTTTTTTAATTTTTATTTTTGCGATTACCTGCTTTTGAGGTATTTTCATATATATTATCTCAGTCCACACAACATTTTTTTTTATTGTACTTTAGATGAAGGTTTACAGCACAAACTAGTTTCTCATTAAAAAGTTAGTACACTTACTGTTTTATGACATTGGTTACCAACCCCATGACATGTCAGCACTCTCCCTTCTTGACCTTGGGTTCCCTATTAAGGTTTTGGTACTTTTTAATGGTCTTATCAATAAAAAACAAAAACCTCTAGCAGACTTTCAAGTTGATATGTGCAAATGTAGCACCACTTTTCCATTTTATTCCTGTGGAGGGAGAGTAAAGG